TAATTTGCTGATTAGCGGGACTACACTCATTATATAACCAGCCCTGGTCGGTAAATTCTGGAGGTAAATGTGCTAAAGCAGCTGTAAGCTTTATATGCTTTTTAATATCTGGATCTTCTCTATATTTTGCCATAATGCTTGGTTGAAATGGAAATTACAACCTTTAAGCTAACAATCGAGAAACATTTCTCTACAGGCACATATTGCTGCTGTTTTAAAATCTATTTTTATGCTTATTGGATTAAAATCTGGTATATATTTTTTCATAAGTGTAAATAACTCGACATATATTTCTTTTTTTCTGTTTGGTAATAATGTGTATAGTGCTGGACGTGAACATGTCGCCATTACACTCCTTTTTAAATCCGCATGGAAAGTGTAAAGTTGATCAAATAAAGAATTACAACTTTTAAAAGTTCCATCTCTAAAAATAGTTTTGCTTGATGCTAGGGTTTTTATGCCAATATTACTTCCAAATCCAATTATTCTATTAATAGTGCCTTCATCGAAAGCAACGAAATTTCCGTTTTTTAGACAAGCGGGAAGTCTTCTCGGGTTTTCGGCAATAACGATATTCCTAATGAATTATTTCGTTGACGGTAGAAGGATGATTTGATATTTTCAAAATCTGGCATTTTCATAACAAATTCTAAACCTGCATCAATGAGTTGGAAAATTTCTTCCTGAAAAATGTTTGCGATCGATGTCATTTCTTTCTAGTTCGTTTTCTGTGTTTACGTTTCATTTGGAATTGTTGGACAAGTGTGTGTGTATGTGTTTGTATGAATTACTTTATTTTATTGATATGTTGTTATTCCTCCACTGTATTGTCCAATTACACATTTTAAATTCTTTTTAAATAATACTTATATCCTTCATAAATAATTTGAGGATGACCTCAAACACTTCTGATAATTTCAACGGTTTCCATGTTTATTTACAAGAATACAAAAGTTAAACTGAAATATATTTTTTTAAGACCGACCAGAAAGTAAACGTTTTCTGAACAATTTTTCGTCCAGAAAGTATCGTTTTGCCGATCAAGACCGGAAAGTAGACGTTAGGGACCTTTTAAGGCTTTACCGGTCCCTCTTTTTCATTTTTCCGATTGCTGTTTAATAATACAGTCTGCCTTGATTTCGTGACTATGGTAACAACGTTCCGATTTATTGCCAAGTGACAGTTCGATCATTTTTAATTTGTTGTTTATGTCAAACTTGGTTTCGCAAATTTAAAAGTTTGGATTTAGATTTTGAATTATCTGACATAGAAAATGAAATTCCAGAAGAAATTTTGGAAGCAAAATAATGTATTTGGTTAGTTTATGCAGTTGAATTCATTATCTTGTTTTAATATTTGTTAATCACTTTGTTAAATGAAATAAATAATTGAGTTTACCTCGAAGTTTCGGTCTTAAAAAATACTTTACGTCACGCGACCGAAAATTAGTGTTAAGCAGGTCTCTCCAAGCTTCAAGGGCGAGCCGTAGGCGAGACTTGTCTCGACTTGCAAAACACTACTTTCCGGTCTTGTCTATCGTAAATTACTACACACACACTACTTGAGCCCAAGTCGAGTAAGTTCCCATCCTGTTTTACTGGATCGAAACCCGCCTGACACCACCTACCCCCCTGACGTAGTCGCTACAGGGGGCCTCAAGTTAAATCCATTTAATTAGTATGCCAGTCCTTCTTAAAGGGCTGTGAAGGATGACATATTATCGTCATTTAGACAGGGTTTGCTGAGGGCATTTCCCTGTTTCGTCGTCCGTTTATTTGTCTTGTGTGTGTTCATTCTGTGAGAGTTCGCCACCTGTGAAAGCTCTCCCAGTCTCCGTTGGCCACTAGGAGGACCTTCTCCCCCAGGTGGATTGTCGTCAGTTGCTCAGTCCTTGTCTGATTCGCGTGTTGTATTCTGTAAGAGAATTCTGAAAGAGAACGCTGAAAAATAATGCTGAAAGAGAAATCTTATAATCTATGAGCGACTTGAATTTTTGCACCTTCCGTGGTTCGGTCACTCGCCGCCATATTCCAGCACTTTGCGTGGTCTGGCGTGTCTCCTGTGTCTCTCGTACTCTTTTAATTCTCGCAGTTCCATATTTGGGTGTGTCCTTAATTTTTCAAAGGTGTCAGTGGCCTTTTTGTGTATAAGGTCTAGGACCCTTTTGGATTCTAAATCCCTCATGATCACATCATTTCTCGTATAGGCATTTGAGGCCCATCTCAGGCTGATATTCTGCTGACTTTGAATCTTCTTCCTGTTTGTTTTACGTACATCAATATATGAATTATTACTGCCTGAATGAGCCTTATTTTTATCTTCAGTAGGAGTTTGCTCCTGCGTTCTATTAAGCAGTTTAGTCTTGCTGTCCACGTGCTTGGTGAGTTTTTGGTCCATTATAACTCCGAGGTATTTGGCTGAGTCGGTCCATGGAATGTTCTGTCTATTCATCGTTATGTCTTCTCCTGTTGGATGATATCTCTTCTTAAACAGCACAGCTTGTGTCTTCTCCGCGTTGATCTTGATCTTCCATCTTATGCACCATTCTTCTATGTCTTCCGGGGTTTTGGAGATGTCCGCTGTGTAAATGGTATACAGCAGTGGTGACAATTCAGCAGCTTTGTCATACCTGCTGTGTACCCTTGGGCCTTCATCTTGAAAATCAGCCCAGCGTGCCATACTCTGTTGAATGCCTTGGCGACATCCAAGAATATGGCTCCTGTAGACTGTTTTCTGTTTAATTATCTAGTGATCCCTTCTACGAGTCTCAGGACTTGCATTTCGGTCGAGTGTTCCTCTCTGAATCCGAATTGCTCGTCGGGTATTATGTTCAAGTCCCTGGTTTCTTCTCTTAACCTTCTTAGGATGACTCTTCCCGCAATCTTACTCATAGCTGGGAGCAAGCTAATGGGCCTGTAATTTTGCGGGAATTTGGGGTCCTTGTTTGGTTTCCGTATCATAATCACCTCTGCTTGTTTCCACAGTCTAGGGAAGTACTGAGTTCTTAAAATCCCGTTAATGGTGGCTGTGAGGTAGACTGTGGCTTTCAGCGGGAGGTGCTTAATCGCTCAGATTGAGATTTTGTCCCTGCCGGGGGCTTTTTTGGCAGATATGTGCTTGATGATGCCTCTCACCTCGTCCGGAGATGAGGGCTCAAGGTATCCTATATCGGGTTCGTTTTCAAAGCCGTCTTCCACTTCTTCCGTGAAGTCTTCATGTTCGTTGTTCAAACATTGGGACTCCAGGGAAGTTGCGAAGGCATCGGCTTTCTCCTCTGTAGCGTTTACCAGTTCATTTGCTCCATGCAAAGTTGGTAAGGGTTTTTTGTCAACTCTTAATATTTTCTGCAGTTTCCATAATCCAGGCTTTTGGGGATCTAGCTCTCCGAGAAAATCTTCTCAGCTTCTGTCAGCGTGCTGTTTCAGTTCCTCGCTGATGCGACGTCCTAAAACGTTAGCTCGGCGTTTGTCCACTGGGTCTCTCGTTTGGAATGCTATTTTCCTTGCTGTGATTAGATCTTTCAGGTCTTGACTGATATTATGGAATTTTTGGGGCTTGGCTACTGTCACTGTGGTCGTACTGGAGGTAAGTGACTGCTGGATAACTTGCTCTAGGGTTTTAAGAGTCTGGTCGACGTCTACTGGGACTTCAATTCTGGGAATGTTTCCCAGGTTTCCTCCCACTATCCTTTTGAATTGTTTCCAATTTGTCTTAGACATTTCTTTCGGAGCGTCCGCCCTTTCTCCCTCTCCGAGGACAAGGAGAGTAGGTTTGTGTGATGCGACTCCTTCGTGCAGAGCGAACATTTCGAGGGGAAATGTGCAGTCTGATGACTGCAATGTCTAATTCATGTGGCATTCCTCTTCCAGAATAGGAAGTGTATTTTTTTTTTTTGAGAATGCAGCAGTATTATTATGTTATGTAATACAATGTGCGATACAAAATTGTATTAATAATTCAATACACCACATTAACATTAACCTAAATAAATAAAAAAATAACAAACGAAAATTAAATAATTTTTGTTAGACTTGATTTTATTACAAATGTAATATGGAGACATTTAGGTTAATGTTATGTGCATTGAATTACTAATAAAGTTAGCTTTCATATGCGTCATACTTTTTTTATAATTTTTTTATGTATTACACGAGTTACATTCCCTATCTAAACGTTTATATTGGGGATAATGGGGCGTAGGAGGTTGATGGGGGGTGAGTTCTCTCTATGTGATTATACTTAATTTAGCGGAAAGTAATATCGTCACACAGACATTCTGATTATGAGTCTATAGTGACTAACTTTTTAAACAAATGGAATTTTGCATATTTTAAATTACCAAAAATAAAACGTTAAGTACGTAAAGATTCAAAGTATTCAATATTAGAAAGCAGTCGAAACCAGTTGCCGCTTTCCCATATTTAATGACAGATTTTGTGCTTTTATTCATTAATAATAGAATATATTTGTAATAAATATTAAATTTACCCCGCTCATGATTATAAATTTTTAATAAAATAAAAATCATGATAAGAAGTGAAATTGTCGTCCAGTATGATAGCGGACTTTTATCAAATGAAATATTATTGCTATTAAATTCGGTCTATTTCTGGTTAATTTATTGTATTTATAAGGTTAGGTATCATAAATAACAGTCCGTTTTTCATGAATATCAGCTAAGTCTTTTCAATTACTCCCTGTATTCAAATAATTTTGGACTGATAAAATCGGAATTCTTTTTTGTTTAGGTCGCAAAGGTTTGAAACCGACTTAAAGATTTATTTTGATAAGTGTAATATTAAAATGTTTCTCCTCGTAAATTGTTTTGCAAATTATATTATTTTTATGTTGGTAATGTTCGCCAGCTTCAAAACATGATTTCCGACGTGTAAAAAAAAGTCCCGTTTATGCTGAATAAAAAAAAATTGTACCCTGCTTCCGAAAGTTATTGTTTAAAGGAAATTTTAGCAAAATATATTTAACTAGATTTTTTATTTCAGGTACTGTGCGACGTTTTTTCGAAAATCACGGCAGTTCGTTAGACACTGTGATATTTGTTGTTGATAAAGTAGATTTAGGTATATACGAAGTTCTATTACCGTTATACTTTCCCCGTTCAAAGCTGGAGGAAGAATCAGCCAGGTAAGATATTTTATTATATTCTCTTTTTAATTTGGTAACACAAAATTGGTTAAATGATATATTTCGAAGCCGAATCTGAGGACGTTTTGAAAATCTAAATATTAGGGCTGATTTAGGAGACATTCTATAAAAAAACAAATTATTTATATTTCTTTAATCCACTACAGTCCATTTAATTTCAAAAATAGATAAAAAATAATTTCAGGATTTTTGTTTTATATTAAGTTGTGCATATGATAAATTTTTTTATCTAGCGTTTCGTAAAAGTAGGACCACCTTTAACTTCTTTATTTGAATATGGACCAGTGTTATTTCGATAGATCATTTTAATGCATGTTCAATGCTAAATAGGTTTGTTTTCATTACAAAATCATAATGGTTCTAGAAATATTTTATAATTGCGCAGAACAACATACGCACAAACAAAAGAACCAGTTCAGAATCAAATATTTTTAGTAGGAACATCTCACATATCTTCTGCATTTTTCAACATTTTTAAATGTGGAGATCCTCAGAACAAATAAAACTATAAGTACTAATATGAAGTTATGAGTAGGGGTGGGCAAAATAATCGATTATTTTAGATTTTTCAAAGATAATTATTATTTTCGATTTCGATGAATTTTTTTTTTTTATTTATGGCCTAGGTGTATACCAGTAAAAACTCCCAGGCCGAATATTTTGGTAAGTAATAGAGATTTTTTAATTCTTATAAAAGCCAGTTCTTAGAGAGCTAGAAGAGCTCTAGTTTTAGATATAAATTAATTTTAAATAAGTCAATATGTAGATGGCGCTGCGCTCAATATATTTTTTTTCCGATGGGAAGATCTTTCTTATATAGCGGATCTTATAAAAAATATATTTTTAAACATATTTTGTTCTATAAACTAATTCAATAAATCTAGCCATTTTTGATATACAGAGTGAGTCACTCAAAACAGTTTCATCCTATTTTTCGGCATTGATCATTGGATTTTTAAAAAATGCTAAAACAGGTCGGTTTTTATTTCAAATTGAACACCTTTTTACAATACAGACATCTGTCATGTGTCAACCCCCTCTCTTCCACTTCTACAACCCCTTAATTTTAAATAAGGAATGTACTATGTACGGTACATCATTGAAAAGGTAATTTTATGGGGAAGTTAGATATATATTGCGATACTTTTAATTTTATCGCCCTCTATCGGGATAAAAAAAACCTGTGACGTATTATAAAGTGTGACACTTCATTTGAAAGCTAATTGATTTACTAATTCAATGCATCACATAAAATTAATATAAATATTTCCATATTGCACTTACAACAAAATAAAGTTAGCAATAATGTTTAAAATAATGCATGACTAATTTTCAAACTATTGAAAGTGCAATATGGAAGATATTTTTATTGATGCATTAAATTAGTAATTAAATTTGCTTGCAAATAAGGTGTCACACTTTATAATACGTACAGTTTTTTATTCCGATAGAGGGCGGTACAATTAAAAGTATCGAAATGAACAGTCATATTTCTAAATTTCCCATAAAATTACCTTTTTATTGATGTACTACATATTGAAGTGTCACACTCTATAATACGTAGTAGTTTTTTATCCCACTAGAGAGCGATAAAATTTAAGTAACGCAATGTACAGAAATATTTCAGAATCACCCATTAAATTACCTTTTCAATGATGTACCATACATGGTACATTACCTATTTAAAATTAAGGTGTTAGAGAATTTCAAGGGAGGGGCTTGACACATGACAGATGTTTGTATTGTAAAATTGTTTTTAATTTGGAATAAAAATCGACCTATTTTAGCATTTTCTTAAAATCCAATGATTAATGCTGAAAAACAGGATGAAACTGTTTTGAGTGACCCACTCTGTATATCAAAAATGGCTAGATTTATCGAATTAGTTCATAGAACAAAATTTGCTTAAAAATGCATTTTTTTACAAGATGCGCTACACAAGAAAGATCATTCCATCGAAAAAAAAATTATTGAGCGCAGCGCCATCTATATATTGACCTATTTAAAATCAATTTATATCCAAGACTATAGCTCTCTTAGTACTCTGTGAACTGGCTTTTACAGAATTAAAATATATCTATTACTTACCAAAATATCCGGCCTGGGAGTTTTTATTGGTACACCCTGCATACCTAATATGCCAGTCTCAAGTTTGTGTTTTTTAAATTCTCAATCATGTGTGTTCTGTGTAGGCTGTGTTACTGTTTCCCAGCGCCACTTCAGGAACAGCACTGTTAATTAGAACCCATCAGTGAATGGTCGAGTGGGGAATCCTACCAAGGCATCAGAATTAATTTTAAATAATTAAATTAAATTAAAAAAATCCCGCCAACGGTGGGATTCGAACCTGGGACCCTTGGATCCGCAGGCATTCGATTAATTGATAAATTAAAATAATCTAATAAATAATAGATTTTCTTTCTGTCCAAATAAAAATGTGTTGTGGAATTTGTGGGCAACAACCTGTGAGAATTTGGTTTCATAAAATAAAACAATATATATGTTTTCTTTTAGTAGTCTCAAAACCGCATACTGGTTGAGTTAAATTTTATTAATAGAATTATTTTAAAATAAAAGACAAATTTTTAATTAATATGGTATATACCAAGAGACTAAAGTGTCACTTTTTATCCCAAGGCGAAAAGTTTGTAGCCCGACCGGAGGTCCCGCTATTTTATGCACTTTAGGAAAAGAAAAACAAAAAATGGTACTCTAATAACAAAGCAATGACAATGTCAGTACAAGGATGTTATAGTTTGGACGTACATTTTACCTTGCACTATATTTTCAGTATATTATACAAGGTTGTCTGATTAAGGACTCTTAGCGGCTGTATCTCGGATACTACTTATTTAATAATAATAATAATAATAATTTATTTACCAAAAATAATATAAAAACAATGTATAATGTATATCAAGTTCGTTCGAGATAAATAAACAGAAACACCCACAAAAAGAATCCTTGAGCATGGGTTATTATTGGTTATTTAGGACGAGCAGTCTTAATAAAACACAATATTACAATATTATAAAAAAAATGAAAAATAATACAAAAATAATATTTGGAATAATATGAAAAACAGTTACGTAATACTAAGTTTAATTTAATATTAATATTTACATTTTATCAACTATTTTTTTTTTTCTAGACAAATTATTAAATTGAACTAGTAAACCAGACTATAACATTCGTTATTTGTTGAAATAAAACGTTGCAGATTCGCAGTAGGGATAGAATATATCCATTTTTTTATTTTTACTTTGAATAGATTTAGGGAATAAATGCTCTTTAATTCTAACGGTATTTCATTATATAATTTGGGACCCAGGTAAGCATAACTTTTTTGCCCTATAGTTTTTTTGGCTTTAGGTATTACAACATTATTTAATTTATATCGAGTTGCGTGGTCATGACTTACTGATAGTAAAGTGTGTTTGTCTTTACGTTGTTTTGTAATAATAATTTTTGCAAATAACTGATAAATATCTAATACTCCAGCTTCTTGATAAAGATCTATTGTTGGGTGAGTTCTAGGTCGGTGAAATATTGTTTTTAATATACTTTTTTGTATTTTCTGCAAGTTATTAATTAAAGTGGCACCTGCTACACCCCATGCTATTATACCGTATGAGAAATTACTTTCAACTAATGCATAGTAAAGGATTTTTAAATATCTCACATGGAGGAAAGTGGAAAGGTTTCTAAATTTATATAAGACGAATCTTAGCTTTTTTATAATATAGTTAATATGTTCTTCCCATCGCAGATGTGAGTCGATATATATTCCCAAATACTTTATTTTATTTGTAGATTTTATAATAATAGTTTCATTTTCGATTTTTATATTAATTTCTTTAAAAGGCGGTAAGTAATTGCTATATGATGTAAAAGGGACAAGGAAAGTTTTTCTAAAATTAATTGTTAGTAATCTGCTCTCAAAAAAATTAGCGATATTAGTAAAATCATTCTGAACTGTGCTTTTTAATTGTTGCCAGTTATTTCCTTCATAGAAAATGGCTGTATCGTCCGCAAAACTTACAGTATTACCGTTAATTTCTTGAAAAAATAAATCATTCAAATAAATATTGAAAAGTGTAGGACCTAACACAGTTCCTTTGGGAACTCCGTATTTAATTACCATAGGATTACTTACATCTCCTGCAATACGCACATATTGTGTTCTATCTGTGAGGTAGCTTTGCAATAATTTTGAAGCAACTCCTCTGAGACCTATGTTTTCAAGAACAGATATTAATTTTTTGTGGTCTACCGTATCAAACGCCTTGGCTAAATCAATGAATTTGTCCTACGGCTTTGCAAAAATATATAACAAAGTTGGTCAAGAGATAATACTGGAAATTATTTTCAATTTTCTATTTGAACCGTTAGAGGGCGCAATTCGCTATGATAATGCAAAAAACACTTTCTTCTTTAAATGTCCAATATCAGATTTTGAAAAACTTAGTATCGATTAAAATCAAATTGATTGTTTAGTAAAATATTTTAATTTAGTTCTGATTCAGTTGTTTAAACGAGCACTAGGGGACGTTGTTTTCTTGAAAATTTTAAATGTTATAATTTTTATACGTCATTTAGAAAATTCTGACAAGAAACAGTAAAAACTGGAATATAAGCAACAGTCTATAATGGTGAATAATCCACCTAGATATTAATAAATAAAATTCTTTATAACATATATTAATCTAGTTGGCTTTGATACCTACGTCATAAGTTCAGGAATATTACCTGCTTATAAGAAGGAACTGTTTGTACGGTAATATAATTGTTTTGGAATAATCCGATAACTGAACCAGAACACATAACAGTACGTTATTTCCGATTCAGGATTGAATCTAATCTAACCAAAACATTGTTATACGTCTGCGTATGCGCGAATTGGTCTAGAACTAGAACCAAAACAAACCTAAACTAACAACATACAATAATGGTTCAATAATTACTTGGCCAAACAAAGA